AAGATCAGAAAAAACTATTTTTTGATCAGTGTAGTAAAGACAACACCAAACCTTCTTACAAATTTATAGGTTGTAGTGTTATAAATTTTTGCGTGACTATACTAAGTGACCTTTTTTTCTTTTTTTAAAGTAACGCATTAATATAAATTACCGATCATGTTAATTGATTATATAATACATTTATTATCCAATAAAAATGATTCTTAACCATGCTGCTTCTTAAGACCTTACCTTTTATACAAATGTTTAATTAATAGACCCTCGTCTGGACTCCTGTAAAATGGGTATCAGATGGATTTGTATAGACTCTAATTCCAAGTATCACCAATTTGCTACCTCTAAAGAAATTGGTGTCTTCCACTCAGGTTGAGTTATTCGCCCTTATGACTGCTCTCATAGTTTCTCCCTGATCATCTAAAATTCATATTTACACTGACAGCCAGGCATTGATACAGGGTTTTCAATCCATTATTATGACTTGCAATCCTTCCAATCGCTCTTTTGAAAAAATTCCTAATTATACTATTTGGAATTTGATCCAATATATCCTTACCTCTTTGGATCTTGATGTCATCTTACACAATATCAAAGCCTATGATGGTAACACCTTTAACAATATTGCTGATTTCCTAGCTAAACATGATCGCTCTCTTCCTCCCATCCAACCTGCATTAACTGGGATTGGTTCTCAGAACCTTGCTATAAGCTTTCGGCTTGTCATAATTAAATTATCAATCCAAAAGTTCTTCAAAAACCTTTTTAATGCTCAACACTTTGGCAACTTTCTTTCTTTACATAGAAATAGGAATCTTAGATTCCTCACTAGCTCAAATGATATTAATTGGCATGCTATTTGGAAAATCCTTACTTTGGACTCATTTTCCTTGATCACATTCTTCGTTGATGCTCGTCTTAAGACCTTTATGATTAAGAATTTTGTAGATGAACTACCTGTTCTTAGTAGAATGGAGCATTTTCGGACTGACCTCTACAATAATTGGAATTGTCTTGGATGCAACATTATGTCAGAAACTTTTTCATATCTCAGGATGTGTTCCAGTTATGCTAATACAATGACAAACATCCTTTTGCTCACCAAATCTCACCTTGTTGTCTTACTCAAAGATTATCCTGACTTCATTAAATCTTCTTCTCTTCTGAAACTTCTGTATCTCTTTGACTATGTCTTTGCTTTGCCTTCTTCGAGCAATGATGGTACATCAACATTATTAGACTTCATATACCGTCTTCATTAGTCAATTTGATACACTCAATCACTCAGAACAAATCAAAGTGCTTCTCGCTTGTCACCCAACTTACCACTTTCTTTCTCAATGAACTTCTTAAAAAAATATGGAAATCCCGACACTCTCTCATAATTGATAAAGAACGTTCTCTATGAATCACAAAAAAAGATAATTCAAGAAAGGCGCTATTTTCATGCTTGTTCACTCAACTGATGATCATGTACCTAGTGCTTGGAAAACATAGATTCATATGACAAATCAATATGATAACTAATTTTCAGATTTTTAGATAGGTACTGACTCTTTTCTTTTTCTTTTCTTGGTGATAATATTAGTCATTAGATATAAATTTAGTGGATCTGTTGGAGGGAAAAGACGATGATTGGTCGATTCAAACAGGTTTGTAATATAATCACAGGGGATAGCTAGTACTTTTCTTTTTCTTTGTATTTAGTTTTACTTTTTTGTATTTCTTTTATAAAATAATAAAGTTACTGGCAATGCCATATCGTAAAAAAAAAAAATATTTTTCTATAAAGGATTGGCATACTGTCATAATTGGTAACAACTTAGAACCTATTGTAGGTTACACTGCAATAAATCCTAGTTCAGCCTCTAGCCAAGGCAAATCGTAATAAATTAATTTACAGGATTTACTGTTTTGATTCTGGGAATGAATTTCATAGGATGCATACAAACTATGTACGTTAAAGATCACGAATTTGTAAAATAAGATGACCTATTTATAGTTATTTACATGTTGGATAGTAGTTCCAACGGCATAAGCTATGTAAGGTCGCTTCGTCTACACACCACTCTGACAACAATTAATGGTGGTAAGTAACTTGATGCATATGTGTATCAATTGAGTTTGGAACCTATGTTAAGGGCTGGTCTGTAATGAATAAGTGCCACATCATCTGCAAAGGGTACCTGTGAGGGTAGAATCAATAGTAGGTACTGTATAACTTGGGTTGAACAAAAGCCGCAGGTTATAGGTGGTTGATATTACACAGTCTTCAATCATCATAGTGCCTTTATCACAACAAGGGTTTTAAGGCTAGAGTTTAATTCTCTGGATGACTTTGACGTATGACGAGGCAACTACAGAGTAGGCTATCATTTTAGGTTGTTCTTGGCCCTAATTTCCAGTAGTAGTGATGAATGTATATGATGACGGGTACTATGCATTCTCCCACATAGGTTAGTGATGTGGCAGTCTACTCGGGTATTAGACAATCATGTACCTAGGCTTCGCGTGCTCACACTGTGCTTAAAAGTGTCAAAGGGGTATTATAATTCACCACAAATAAGTTGTATAGCTGCTTGTGAGCTGTGCGCATCATGTAATTATTATCGCAATCCTAGTAAAGCAAAAAAAAAGATATTTTTATATTTAAAAATCTGTATCACACTGATGATGTAAAATTCGTTATATCAAATTCGCTATAGACTGTATTAGTTGATTATGATCCAAAAAATTTTTTTTGGTTTAAATATTATTATTTTTTGTTTTTTTATTTTACGTAAAATTTATACGTTATTTTAAATTCCTTAATAATTCCATATATATTAATTTTTTTTAAAAAATTATAAAAAAATAAATCATTATAAAACATATGGAATTTTGATATAGAATCATCAATTACGTATACAAACCTTATAAAAAATATATCATTTCCTTATTTCAATTTCTTATAGGGTTATTTTTAACATAGCAAGTAATTTTGAATTTATTTTATCAAGTTTCAAGTTTGTGTCTGATTATATTTCTTAAATTATTTTTAATTTAAATTTTTGAAAATCTTTTTTTTTACTTTAGGCTTGATTTCTTAAGAAATTTCTTTTTTTTTACATTAACGCGCGTCACCTTTCATATTAATTATCAATTTGCATATTTTTTTTGATTGGCATATTAATTAAGCATGTTTCATCTTAAATAGTTTAAAGCGTAAAATAAAATTAGAAAATAATCAGATTAAGCCTTAATAAATTAATATTAATAATTTATGTAAATATATCGAAACATTTCACATTATAAGATTTAATACTTGTAGACTATTAGAAATAGAGGTATCAATCTATTTGATGGATCTATCAGTATAATCAAGATAAATTATTCATGTAAATTTATCCTTAATTCGACTAATCGTCACGGCAAAGGATTAAAATTTCAATTAATTCAATACATATATTAAATTTTCTTTTGGCAATATATTTGTTGATTAATTATTTTTACTAATTAAGTTTTTGATAAAGATAACCCGAGAAATGATCCATTTAATCATAATTAATAAATTCATGCAGTCCAAAATATTAAAAATAAATAAAATAATAATGGAAATTTTTTTTTTAAAAATCTCAGAAATTTTTAAAGTAATTTGAAATTAGTTTTGAAATATTATTGTCGTTAAAATTTTGTAATTTTGTAATTTTGTGTTTTTATATTTTTATTTTTTTTGTTTCATTTAACAATGACCATTGAAGTAGATAATTCTCATCCTGGAATTGGGCAAAGAATTAATTTAACATTGCAGTAATTTACGCATCAAGGGCAATAACATATTATGATAGAGTGAGTATTACAAACAAATTTATAACGAACATATCTGATCTATTGAAAGCATTCTATGAGAAGAATAGAGTTCTTCTAAAATTTTTTATCGAGATGGTGTAAGTGAAGATCAGATTTGCAGCTTCACAGAAATGTAATTGCATTGAAAAATGCATTTGATAAAATTTATCAAAAGGATCCCTTAAAATTAACTTTTATGATAGCACAAAAGAGGCATTATAACAGGTATGAAAAAGTTGATAGTTATTTTTAAATTATTTTAGAAAGGTTAGTTTTTTTTCTAACGCTAATAAATTTTTTTTTGGATTTTCTTTGGTAAATTAAGTAGATGCGGATAAATTGTTCCTGGAATATCGAGAATCAACCATCATCAATCGTTTATTGTAATTAATTTGGTTTTTGTAATGGTAAATATTTGATTAAAAAGAATCTTTTATATAATTTCATTTGGATTTTCAATAATAATAATTTATTTGTCTATCATAGATTTGCAATCTCATTCTAAACTTCAAAAATAATACGTTCAACTCATTATTTTTCATATGATGAAAATAAATTTAACGACGATAAGAATTTATCGTTATATATTGTGTTATTTTATGTTAGGAAAAAATATGAAAGAATTTGTGTTCTGTATATTTATACTGATATTAAAATTAAATCTTTTAATGATAAAAAGCCAGTTAATTCGTAATGTATCAGTCATATTTAAGAAATATGATTAGTTATCATGTTAATTTATTAATTGATCTTTAACGTAGTGTTAACGTTAAGTTAATGTTAACGTTTTTTTATTATTACCTAATTAAGATGTTTATATAATTAAGATGTTTGTTTATCTTATATTGATCCGATCATAGTAATAGCAATTATATTGATATTGATATTAATATCGACACTTATCATTATACATGTTTTTAATGCCCCAATGATGATAATGATAATGATAAGGAACAGCAATATAATGTATTTTTATATCAATATGAAAAAGAAAATAACTTTACCGCTACCATTACATTTACCTTTTTCCTTCTTTTTCATGTTGATAAATTAAAAATTATTATCATGTTTTTTAACATGCCTTTTTAAATGAAAATATGTGTTTTTTGAATAAGGATTCTTTTGCTAATTATATCGGCAGTAAGTTAGAATGTGATGACCAAGACAAAGATTATTCGTTTCTAGAAAATGATAATTATATTATTTCTAATAATACAAGCGAAATTCCTTCAGCACCTGCCACATTTACCAATGATGATAGTTATATCTATGAATTTTTATTTGATCATGAGGCATTTCAAAATGTCAAAGAAAAAGTTACTTTAAGTGAATATAATGATGAAAACATAACGTGAGAAGATATTAATATGGATGTTGAAAAAGATTTTGTCTCAATAATGGCTAGTTCTAACATAAATAAAGACTTTCAAATAATCAATGCTGATATAGAAAATAAAAACCTAGTTCTATGTGTTCTAGTTGATGTATTTGATGAACAAGTAAAATATTGTTCAAATTATAAAAAACTAGGATATGCTCTCTGTCATCTTTATCAATTAATAGGAATATGAAAGATCAATCAAGCTGTAATAAATCAAACAAACCCTGAAAGTATGCTACATACTTTAGGTGTTTGCATGGCATATTTGTCTTTTGATTAAAATAGATTACATAAGAAAAATTCAAAACAATTACAATCAGTAGGTGAAGATTACATTTGTCGACGTTATTATCTTTTTTGTTATAAAGACAAATATTTTTTTAGTCGTGGCAAAAATTATGCAGAATACTTAATAAGCATTAATGATCGAAATGTGTAGGTGCCATATGTAAGACTTCAAGTTTGTTCAAGTTTTAAAAATGATAGGATTGTTAAAGAAGCTAGTATAAATAAGAATGCATGTTATATATGCTCAGAATGTTTTCAAAAAGAAGGAGAACATTTTTTTGAACGAAGAGGAAGTGGATTAAAAGCTTTTTTATGTCATGAAAATCATATTTATGATGCTACAAATGCATTAAAATTATTAGGTAGATGGATCTTAGATGTAGCCAATTCAACTAATGATAGAATTAAAAATAGTTTATAATAGAAATTAGTACAATTCTTAGTAAAATCTTTGAAAATGTAAAACAAAATGATAATAACAATAACAATAACAATAATAATAATAGTATTAATAAAATACCTTTGAGTTTATTTTTAGTTAAGACTATATTATGAATAGGAAAAATAAATATAAGAAAGTTAAAGGAAAAACTTTCAATTAGTAATCTTTTAAATGAAAATCCAAAAGAGTAGAAGAAGTATTTGGATTATGTGTTTAGAAAACACGCTCTGAAGTTCGTAAAAAAAACAAAATCTTGAAATTCTACAATCACTCGAAGAATACCAATGTAGATTTTCTATAGTTTTGAAAGATTTTTTTGGTGGATTTATAACTTTATTAAAAAAAAAAAAGTTTGAAATTATGGAGAAAAAACGTAAATAATGAGGATTGTCAGTAAAGAGTTTGATAAAATATGTTGTAGTTGCCATAACTCTTGTTTTACAAATGTATAGCATTTTTTTGAGTTTGATAAGCTTTAACATAGCTTATATCTTCTTGATCGTTTCTGCCACTCGTCATTAAGAGGATTTGTTTTACAAATTAATTTTTAATTGCTAAGAATCCTTTTCTTCACATTGAGCGATAATTTCATTTAATAAGTTCTTTTCAATGTTATTATCATCTAATCTTCAGTCTAATTATTCTTTATTTTTCTTTAACTAACATTCTTCTTTTCTTTATTCTTATTATTTTTAAAGTTATTTATTCTTTCTTCATGTTTCTTTTATTATTAACTTAAAATATTTGATATCTTTATTTCTTCTGTTCATATCTTCTGAATGTTATTTCTGAATAATTCTTCTAAATATTCTTTTTGATTATTGTTTCTGAATGTTATTTCTGAATATTACTTCTCTTTATTATTCTTTAATATTTCATATATTACTCTTGTTTGTTTTTCCTTCATATCTTTTTATTGCGTCTAAATATTTTTTAATTTTCTATCATATTTTTATTATTTCTTCTGAGTTTTATTTCTACATTACTTCATTAACATTTTTCTAAAATTAAAGTTTATATACAAGCGAAATAACTTTATTTATTTCCATAATTTAACTGTTCAACAATAAATTATTTCAAACAAAAGTATTCATTTTTATTTGTGTTAAAAATTTATTTATTAAAATAATAATTTTTTTTAATTGAATTGGGAAAATTGAATATGTGATACTGGAAGATATTCAAAGGATATATATAATAAATTTACATAAGAACATGTGATGTACATGTGATGAGAATTCTAATTAAAAACTACGAATTATTAAATATTTACTTTAACCCGTTCATGATTTTTATGATTTCTATTATTACTATTATTCCTAATTTTCCGTTGTTCATTATTAATTAATATTCATTTTTCCTGCTTTTAATATTTTCTTATGTTCTGAATTATTTATTCTGAATTCTGTATTACTATTGTTTACTATTTATTGTTTATTTACTATTTACTTTCATTCCGTTATATTACTTCATACTTTCGTTATATTACTTTTACTTCTGTTATATTAATTCTTACTTATTTTTTTTTTACTTTTTTAATGTTTTATTACTTCAGACTTTTCCTTTTACTTTTTCAGACTTCTATCTTTCTTCCATACTTCGTATTACTACTAACTTCTGTTCATTGTCTGATTTTTGTTTCGTTTATGATATCATGTGTAACCTTTATATTACACAAGCTTCCATGTGATCCAGTTCGTCATTCACAACGATTGTGCCTTTTGTATAATCTTCTCGCATCTTTGTATAACTTTTTCAATTTGTTATTTTTCAAATATTTTCTGTCTTTCTATAAGACCCTCCGTTCGGTTGATTAATTATCCTTTTTACTTGACTCTCGGTTCGGTTAATTAATTATCCTTTTTTCTTTAATAACTAATTTATCTGAATTATTTTCTTCCGAAATTTATCCATTTTATTCTTCTTTTTCAGTCTGTAATTTATCCGAGTATTATACTTTCTTTTAATAAATGATTATTCCTTCTTTTATCACATGACTTTTCCTTGTAATTTTTGCTGTATATTATTAATCATTTCCTTTTATATTGCTATGCCTTAATTAATGAAATTGTTGACTTAACAACATTCAAATAAAAATCAATTTTTATCATTTTCATGATTTTATCAATTGCATTTCCAGGTGTTGACATATGGCTTATTTATATTATGAGCTCCTTATGTCAAAAATCAAACTTATTAAGCTCATTATATACAATTCTATGTATTACAAGTGTAGTTTCACATATACAATGTCATGAGGGAAGGATAGAATTAATAGAATTAAACCAGAAGAAAGATTAATACAGGAAGAAAATATATGAAACATTTGTGTTATAGACAATATAGATTTTAAAGAATGGGCTTTTGCATATAGAAATATCTATGATATTACTCAAAATACATTACATGCAACTTTACGAATGGTATTTCAATTCAATTTACCAATTCCAATTTATCAAATTATAACTAATGCAAGTTTAAAAAAAAACAACCATTTAAAATTGGTTTTTTCATTTAAAATTGATTTTTCCCAATTTACAGAAAATGAAATCCAAAGTTTTGAAAATAAAATTTATTTTCTTTTGCAAACTTTAGAAACAGATTTTAATATACAGTCAGTTTATAAAGAACTGGTTAAAGAGATTGATTTAAGATGTAAAGTTCTACCACCTAATGTAGTTATACTGGAACGTGGTGAAAATCCTTGCAATAATGAAGCTGTATATGATGCATGTAACATGCATTTTCATGATATTGCTCCAAAAAATGTAAATAATAAATATATAGATGTAGTATGCGATGAAGCTATTTTTGACATTTAATATTTTATTCTAAACAAAAACCTGAAATTCGACTTATGTATGACGCATGGTATACCAGTAAGAAAATTTGTAATACATTAATTACTATTTTTTCAGAGTATAGAATTTTTAATAAAGCAGCTTGTATTGGCATCCGTTATTTGGATAAATTGGAAAAAGTCATTGATTATCAAGCAATATGTCAGTTCTTATAGTTAATATAGGTTGCAATCGAAATTACATTAAATAAAATTATGAACAATAAAGGCAAAACATTTAATGATATTAAAATTGAAAATAATAGTATAATGAAAGTTGGTATTTATATTTTTGCTGATGTGGATATTGGATTAGACACAAAATCAGAATTTGATATAGACACTATTATATGCAATTTGAAAATTTAATTGCATTCGCACCACTTTTTTCATTAGTAGGAAAAGTAATTATGCAAGATCTGTCACTCATTTTCTTCATAATATTTTTGAAGATCTATCACTTTAATCATTACTTCAATATGTTTGCTTTATAAATCTTACCAATTCTGGTCATTTTTTTGCCTTTAATGAGGTGTTAGAAAGATTTGAAGTAAAGTATGTAAAGCAAAATATTGGAAAAAATCCAGGGAATTGTGAAAATCTAAAACAAAGAATAAGTTCAATTCAATCTGAATGAGAAAGGTTAGACATTCTTTTAAATGAATATGATGAAAAGGAAATTCTTATTTGAAATGATCGTGCTATTAAATCTCGTAAGGAGTCACTTTAGAATTTAGTTAATCAGCTCACCGATGCATTTAATCTTGCAAATTCAACCAATCATGAAATATTTAAGAATACAACTGAAAATAATATAAATGGATTTGAAATCTATTTATCTGTTATAAAAAGGAATCAAATGACTTAAAAGTATTCATGCGCAAGAAATTGAAAAAAGTGTTCCTCATAATACAAAAAGACTTAATACAAAAAATATTAAAACAATTGAACAATGAAAAAAAAATTGAAAAAGATCCTAAAAAACAGGAAAAAATAAATAGAAAAAATGAAAAAATAGTACAGTCCAATAGAATAATATCTAATTCAGATAGACAAAATCAAATTAATATTGATATTGATATACATGAAGAAATAATAACAAAAAGTAATATTATCGTTATCTATAAAGTAAAGTAATTATAAAATAATAATGATAATGATAACAATAATAATAATAATAAAAAATATTGTTGATTTTTTATTTTAAAAAAGATCTTGAGGTTAGTAATAAATGGTAATACAGATCTTTAATAAGTTCAGAACAGAATATTTTTGCTAAATTACAACAACAATCTGAATTGTCAATAATAGAAATAGAAAAATACTTGTGGAAATTTGCTTCTTACCCGATAATAAGCCTGAAGAATGAAACATAAAAAGGATTCAGAAAATTTAGCTAAGATATCGAAGACAAATAAAAAAACAAAAATGATAATATGTTAGTTATATTAATAATCAAAACTTATCAATATTATTTTTAAAGCTCTTAATATTGATATATTTTTTCTTATGCTTTTTGTATATTTTCGATTTGTTTAAAATAATAAATAATGATTACTAAGAAATAATCTTGTATAAATACTTGTTTTTATTATATGTTAAAAAATACCTTATAACAATAAAAAATAATATAAAGAAATCCCAATTTTCTGAAATAAAGTAAGAAGTAGAGTTAACAACAAGTAGAATAAAAATTTTAAAGATTATTTTATTTGAAAAGAAATGAATGCGTTAATGATTAAATATTGCAATTATGTGGTCTCAAAATTTTTATTACTATTTAATTGCAGGTCAAAAGATATGTCCAGTAACCGATAAATATATCAAGAAATTTTTTAAAAAAAGTTGAAGTTATAGATCATTAAGTTTTTTTTATATTTTAAATGGATTTTATTTTGATACGTATAATGAGAAGTTTTATAGTTAAAATCGTAAGAAGTTGTACTAACATTATTCTAGGAAAGAAGTTTTCACAAATTAGTATTGATAGAACATGTTTACAAAATAATGAAAAAAAAGAATATCATTATATTCTTAACCACTCCAAAATTATAGCTAAGCTTCGTGAACATGGCCTAAGCAATATAGAAGAATTCTCTAAAGATACATCTCAATCTGACTTATCTGAAATGAGACAGCAGATATATTCATATTCAATGTGCCAGAAATTATTTTCCTAAAAATAATCCCACCTCTTTCAGAAAAGAGTATGCCTTCACCTAGAACTAGTAAAGATAAGAAAGTGAATAAACAAGGTGACTTCTTGATTGATAATGTATTGTTCTATTGGAACGATTAAATTTGAACTGCAAATATCATAAAATTTTATTTATTTATTTTAAAAAAAAATATAAATAATAAAGAATATATATAATTATTATTTTCAAAACTATTGACTATATATATATAAAAATTTAAATATTTTGTAAAGTTATTAATTCACTATCAATCCAACTTTTTAAGCATAATGGTGCTTGTGCTTTTTGTGGATTCAGCCTATTTCTTATTTGACTAATTTTATTTTTAGCTATGCTAAAAGCTTGCTTCTTTGGTACACTTGTTGATTGTATAGATAAATAGTCTTTTGCCATTTATAAGTGCAAAATATTTTGAATCTTGTTCTCTAGCTTTATACCAAGCTAAAGAATTTGTATTCTCTTCAGGTGAATTTAAATAAGTTTCCAATATATTATTATTATTATTATTATTTATCTTTTTCTAAAATAATTTATTGAAGAAGTTTCTTCTGAAACTTCTAAAGAAAAATTGGTTATCATCATATAACCTTTATACTTTTCTTTAAAAGATTCTTTTACCTCATTTATATTAATTTCATCAAATGTTAATAATTTATAAGATGGATCAATTATTGAAGCTATTTTTGAACTTTCATTTAGATAAATCTAATATTCATATAGTTTGTTATTCATTGCTGTTGCAATAAGAGATAATGTTGATGAATTTTCTGTCATTTTTGATTCAAGTAATTCCATTATAATTGTAAAAGCTATACGTAAATTTCCTTATGTAGGATATAATGAACCAGATATAAGTTTTGTAGCTTCATATATTGGTTCCATTAATATACAAAGATCCTATTATATATTTTATAATATTAGTATTTATATTAATAATTTTTTAAAAAATAAATAATATTTACATTAATATCATGCCAATCTTCATCTGTTGGATAAATATATTTTAGTTGATTATTACTAGCAACTAAAATATCAGTCATATTTTTAATTCTATTAAGTTTTTGAATTGATAAATATAAAGAATTCCATCTTGTAGGAATATCTATATCAGGAATAAGAAATGGCTGATTTTTCATTTCAAATATCTTTTTAAGTTCTTCAAAAAGTGGTAATGAATTTCGAATTTTACTAGCAAATTTTCTAGCTTTTTCAATTGGTTCATTAATTAATTTAATGCCTTCTTGTACTGCTATATTTAAAATATGAGCTGCACATTTAAAATGCATAAATTCTATATTATTGCAATCATTTACAAGAATACTTTTAAGATGTTATTCAAATGCAATCATATTAGAAGTATTATCTGTTGTAACAGCCAATATTTTACTTCTAAATTATATTCTTTTAAAGTATTATATATTTTTTTAGCAATAGCTATTCTAGTATGTCTTTCATGCATAGGTATAAAATCAAGAAGAATATTTTTCATATAACATTTTTTATTAATCCAATATAATGTAACTGAAATATAAGATTGATTTGTACATGCTATCCATGTATCTGTTGTAATAGAAAATTTTGTTCTATTGATAATAATATATTGCAAATAATTAACTTTTACTTATTAAAAATTTTACCAATATGTTGTGAAACTGTTTGTCTTATTGGCAATATATATCTAGGATCCAGAACAAATAATAAAGATTTAAATACTTTATTTTCAACCACATTAAATGGTTGTTAATCATTTATAATCCAGCTATATACATGAAGATTAATCAATTTAACTTGATCTAAATCATTTTCAGTATATAGAAGCTGATTATTTTGTACTTCTTGATTAATTTGTTTATAAGCATTTGCATGGTTCTTTTCAAAATGCCTTTTAATAGTACTGATTCTAGTATTTTTTGAGAAAGATATTTGGCAAAGAGAACATAATATAGTATTGCTATTCATTTCAAGAAATTTTCTTATAGGATGGCTTGTTTTATTTATTATTTTTCTGTTGTTCTGCATTTTTAAAAACTGTGCTATCACATTCTGTAAGAACTTCAGAAACTAAAGAAATGTTATCACTAATATTAAGGTCAGACATAATTGTATATTTAAAAGAAATAGAATAATATGAATTTATGACAGATTTTTTTTATAAAAGATAAACTTGGATTTTTTTTCAAAATATTTAACGTGGATAATAAAAAAATAAAAAATAAATAAATAAATAAACATTCATTATGTCATATAATCAAATTTTAATTACTTAATTTTTGAGTCGATACAATTTAGGTAATAAGTTTTGTTTTTTATTCTAAATTAAGGAATTGTTAAGAAAAAGTATAAATTAAAAATAAAATTCGCGTAAGTAATGAAAATGTTGATTGACGCTAAATTTTGAAAATAATGATCAATTTCTAGAAAATAGCAGCGATTGGTTAATAAATTTAGCGCAATAATATTAAAAAAATTAACTTAGAAAGTTGAATTTGAAAATTTCTTCATTGGTTTAGTTGAACAATACATCATCGTTCTAATAGAATGATGCATTTATCATCATTCTTCTTAAACAATTTATTCATCGTTTAAATAGAACGATACATCATCATTTAAGGTGAACAATTTTTCATCATTCAAATAGAACAATACATTATCGTTCAAGATGAACAATTTATACATCGTTCAATGATAAATCATCGTTCTTGAATGATTTATTCATCATTCTAATAGAATGATACATTATTGTTCTTCTTAAACGATTTTTTCATCATTCTATTTGAACGATATACTATCGTCTAAGTCGAACAATTCTTCATCATTCAAATAGAATGATATATCATCATTCAAGGCAAACGATTTATACAAATCATCGTTCTTCTTGAACGAATTATTCATCGTTCAAATAGAATGATACATTATGTTCCAAGTCGAACAATTTTTTATCGTTCAAGATGAACGATTTATACATCATTCAATGATAAATCATCATTTTTCTTGAATGATTTATTCATTGTTCTAATAGAACGATACATTATTATTCTTCTTGAGCGATTTTTTCATCATTCTATTTGAACGATATACTATCATTCAAGTCAAATGATACATTATCGTTCAAGTCAAGCGATTTTTTCATTGTTCTAGTTGAATGATACATCATCGTTCTTCTTGAACGATTTTTTCATCATTCTAGTTGAATAATGCATCATCGTTCAAGAAGGACGATTCATTTATCATTCTAATAAACGATAATGTATCGTTCAACTAGAATGATTTTTTTCTCATTCTATTTGAATGATACACTATTGTCTAAGTTGAACAATACATCAGCATTCAAGAAGAATGATTTTTTCATCATTCTAGTTGAACAATGCATCATCGTTCAAGAAGAACGATTCATTCATCATTTTAATAGAACGATTCATTTATCTTTTAATAGAACGATTTATTCATTGTTTTAATAGAATGATATATTATCGTTTTAATTGAACGATGTATCATTTGTTACTCTTTGACTTTATTTTCTAGTCTATTTATTTAGGATCACAAGTCCCAATTTATATAGGATTGCAATCCTAGGACTGAAAGTATCAGGACCGGTCCTAGAATCCAGTCTTAGAACTTAAGTCCTATGGGATCAGGTCTTCTTTTGGACTGGAAGTTTAGGACCGGACTAGGACTGGACTTTATTTTAATATTTTTATATATTTCTTTAAATTCTTGTGAAACAATTTTAATGTTAAATTTTGATTTTTTTAACAAATTATATTGTGAGATTTATATGAAAAAGAGACAGCTAACAAAGAAGCCTAAACCATATAGAATTAATTTATTACTTGAACTTGCCGCTACTAGATGAAATCTAATAAGAAATGACATATTAAAAAAATTTCAGAATTGTAAGATATTGAGATAAGATATTTAATAGATCTTTTAGATAATATTGTTCTATTGGTTTTAGATTTTTATCCTATAATATTTCGAAGCGGTCATTGGCCAGCATATATAGATGCAATATTTTGTGCTTGGGTTTTCTTTTTTAGATATGGCCGAAAGAATTATAATAAGTTACCATTAGCTTTTTTCAGTGATGTATTTTACTGATTCAATACGCATCACTCTATGACACAAGTTATTAAATAAAATCTTCACTTGTTTAATGACTATTATGTTGAAAACTTTCATTTTTTACTTTATCTTCAAACTAATGCCTCAAATTCACCAGAGCAAATAATTTGTTAAGCTAAAATTATTGATTAAGATTGAGATAATAATATATTCAAAAAAACTTTCTCTGAGTCTCATAATATAATATGTGGGTGGTGTGCTATTAAAATTGAAATACAGATCATATGATTTACTATGTCTCGTACCTCAATTTTAATAGAGCACCACCTATATATGGAATGTGAATTGGAGTTTATGAAAAAAAGGACAGCTATATTTCTTTTGGAACTTTTTATTAAGGTACATTATAATATTGGTAAGACGGTAATTGATATATCAAGTAAGTATAAACGTCCAAAATATAAGCTTCCATCATTAAAAATAATAGTGGATGTAAGATTACTTCCACTAGCATGGAATACAACTTTTCTTCCAAAGGCTGATAAGTATTGTGATCGAGAAGGATGTGAATTTTCTCTTAATATTGGTTGTAATTTAATGTGTGGCCATTCATACCATTGTGAATGCTTTTTATTAAATCTTTCAGGTTAATGTCATTATTATAATAGCTACCTAATGGGAGGGATTATTGAAAATAGTAGGATATTTCAAAATAGCATAAGCTCCTTAGGGGAATTAATTTTAGAAAATGATGATGTTAAAGATAATACGAATGAAGGGAATGATGATGATGAAAGAAATGTATTAAATACTATGATAGATATTGATTTATGTAATATTTTGTCATCATTCAATATTTTATAATAAATTAGATTAACTTGATCATATAAGTTAGATTCAAGATTAAAATATTGGTTAAGATATAAGATTAGAATTTAGTAATATATTTTACATTTAAATCTTTTAAAGCATATATTATATCAATTACATCAAACTTTAAATTTATTAATTGATACTAAATTAGAATAAATTTAAAATAATTATATTCGTATTCCCTAATTTTATTATTTGTATCTCATGGGCCAGCATTATGCATTATCACATAATATCATCTGGTCAAATTTTCTTTAATTCTGATCATTAATCATCAAATAGATGAATATAACCAATAGGATCTCTGAATATTTTGACCAATCATTAAGAAGGCTGCTCTGATTGGATGAAAATATTACATCATCTCACAAAAGGATCTGTAAAAATTAGCCAATCATAATGAAAGCCCGCTATGCTGGGCAGATATACAAATACTTTATTAATATATACACGTAAACAAAAATCTATTTTTTCTTGATGGTAGAGTCCGGGCTCGCCAAAATTGCGCAGAAAAACGGCGCAGTACCTTCGGGATAATCTAAAAGTTTTGAAAAATTATTTTCCGTGATGTTTGGCAAAAAGTACTTTATATTATATTTGGCAGTGATCATTAACGCATGTAGTTAAAAATGAGGGAAGATATACAATTGCTTTATTATTATATTTTTGAAATACAACTCTGCAGGAAAACATTATTTATGATGTTCGTTTCTTTTGAAAATATTCTTTAGTCCAAACAATTATCTGTTTACGATTCCCCCAGTCAAAATAACTCACATTACTATGTATCAATTTTTAATCTTTTCATCGCGTTCTTTCTTATACCTGCCTTTCCCTTCGCCTCTTCCATACTGTTAAATGGCCTCTTAGTAATAATATTTGTTGCCGTTACTCACCTAAATCATATACTGTCATTAGCTCTGTAGTAGTCGCAGTATTGATATCCAAGGCACCTACTATAGCGTAATTATATGCTCTGCCGGCGAATGGCCCAAAGTAATTATTCCAATTTGATTTATCAACAATCCCAGAGTTCTCCGGAAGATCAAAATTGTCAGATTCGCCAGTTGTAAATAAAATGAAAAAATCTCTGTCACCGGCAGATTTTTCCCGTTCATCATAATAAAGTTTCCTATTAATACGTGACGTTTTCCATTTTTTTGCTTGATGAACTTCATTGGGATTATTTTTTCTAGATTGGTCTAAACTGAGAAAAGAGTCACCATGTGGGGCAGACCCTCCATTTATAATACAGTATTTACCTTCCCGGACATTAACCACTGAATCTTCACATATAATTTTCCTTGTTTTAGTATATTTGGAAGAATTCGTAACTTCTTGATGTTTGGCATGTTCCAATTTTAGATGGTGATTAGTGAAAGTGATATCATATTCCAACCGTAAACGTGCTCCAGTATGGATTTCAGAAATGGTTGTTTTCTGGCCTTCTTCTAATACTCTGGACTTCAAGTATCGAAAGATTGCAACGAAATATTCAAAATGGTCCCAAAGTTGAGCTCCTGGTATTCTCCTTCGGTCAAATGTCGCGACATGTTCTCCATAATCACAGAATTGCCAATCTCGAAGCAACGGATCCCCACCTAAGGTAGATGGTTGTGCCATTATCCAGATCCAGATGTATGGTGCATTAAAATATCCCTCTGCACTAGTTCCTATTTTTTCAAATCGAATCAGCCCCGGTTGAACAAAGTAATCTGGAAGTTTGTCTGTACAAGGAACACACTTTCGGGAATCCAAGCGTATTCTGGTTAATATTGCTCGAACAATAGCCTGAGCTTCTAAAGCAGAGATATTGAGAACACTCGGATAACGATCCTCAAGACTAGCGCGTAGATCATGCATCAATTGATCGAAGTTGCAATCATTGATATTTTTATCCCCTATAGTTTCGGCTAATACTTCAAGAGCTCTTCCATGACCTCCGCAATCGTCTACAAGTAGATTTATAATATGATGATCTTGAAAAACACTGATATATTTATTATCCCTAAAGATGGTTGGAGGATTCAAAGAAACGACAGGTAACCTTACACGTAGCCGGTTCGATGATTTAATAGTTTGGTCAAATGAGCGAGTAATTGTTGCAGTACAGCATGGAATTAAGAAAAAATCATTATTCAACGCCAAATCACTGATTTTTGATAAAGTCTGGTAAAACGCAGAATCTTCATCAAGCCCATCATCATTTGATGTCATGAAATTCTGCAAGCCGTCGACAACCAAGATAATTGCAGTTTTCTTCATATCTTCTTTTTCTTTATTGTGACCTTTGGCAATCCATCGAATGACTTCAAGCGGAGTTGGGGCATCATAGGTAAAAAGAAATCGGTCAAAATCATCATCGCCAGTATAAACTTGCCAAAACATCCGGACGCCAATGGCCAAAATATCAAATCGTTCGATACTCCTTGAAAAACTGGTGCCGTTTTCTAGGCTAATATTGAATACCCAAGCATCTTGAATCATGTTCTTCAACTCCAAATTATTCGAATCCTTCAGACTTTGGATTAGCATATTGTGAAATTCGGATGCGTTTCGGGATTTTCCTGTGCCAGCCCCGGAGAAGAAGAGGTAAGTCGGCCTATCTATTTTGTCATCATTTTCATTCACAAAATGCATATAATGGCTTTCGGTGTGCTTTCGTAGAATTTTTTTCAATTTCGGATCCGATTGATATTGCCAGTTTGAACCGTGAGAAGAGACTAAAGGCTTCGGTTTTTTGTACTGCAAGCCTAGCAGATAAATGGTATGTACTATCAGCCTCAATATAAGAAGGACAATATCTAGTAAGAATTGTTGAATACACACCTTCAGGAAAAGCTTCAGTTATTTTGGTTGTCTGGAGGATCGTTTGTACTAATGCAAAAAAAATAAATGTATTATTAAGTATGACACCAAGCATGCAAAAAATAAAGCAACGGCTATCAAAAATTAGCCAAGTCGCATCGACCGAATTTATTACGACACACTTACCAGCAGTGGGTTGCACTACGATAACGCGAATGTGTTTTTTGGGCGGGTTTGACGATAAGAAGCAGGAAAAAAAGCACAAGAATAAGTAAGTATTCGGTATTATTGGCGAATATGACACGGTGTGAGTGAAAGAAGACGAAAAAAGAAGCTTTTTACCTCCTCGAATTTGACTAATCAGTTTTCCGATCCCTTTAGTTGGTTTAAGAGCTATTTCGATACTTAAAAGGTCGTCTCGAGTTAATTCAAGGAAAGTGTTGCCATCAATCTTATTATTATATATTTTATCGATCTCGGTGTCATCAAGGTCTAAACTGACTTTTTTCTCTTGCAAAAATCCCTTAACCCTATCTCGATCCCATCCATTAATTTCTTCAACTGTCGGGAGACTAGCCGTAGGAGCACTCGTAGAAGTACTTGTACTTTCAACGTTGTCGGACATGGTTATTTATACGAAAAACAAATGTGGTAACAATTGTACAGTTCAGAAAAAGAAATTTGCTGAAAGAATAAAGGATATATTTATGAGAAATCGATTGTCGCACAGATTGAAGTTGATCAGTTACGCAACCGACTTAATACAGATATCTGTCAGACTGTCACACCAGATTACAAAAATCATGCCTTACAATACTTCATATAAAAAAAGTGCTGAACTTTGAGATCGTGACGCGCGTCACAGTCTCGGGATTTCGTAGTTTTTACATATCAGGTGATAAGCGAGAACGGTATTTTATTAATGCATGCGAGCGATAAAAAAAATAAATACAAGTGCTAAAGCAAACAGACTAACCCGCTGTACATGATAA